CAGCTCTTTTCCTGATGTAACGCTTCTTTCTGCTAAAAGGCTGAGCACCCACGCGTGCTGATCCTCAGTGACGATCGCAGCAGGAAAAAGGGGAACAAGGAAAGAAAACGCGAGGAGACGTCCGCAGATAAAGTATCTAAAATATCGCTCAGCTGGCAAGGGGGAAAGAGGGCGGTCCCCGGGCATACCTGGCCTTAAATAGGTCAGGCCACGCCTCCCCGGCCCGCCGATTGGCTGGTCGGGTCGCAGGCACGCCCGGGGATTCCCTGGGTCTCGCGGGGCAAAAGGCCAGCCCCGCGAGTGTGGGAGGGGTTCGCCCGCAACCCCCTCTCCTCCGAAGGCAGAAATGGCTTTGTGGCATCCAGTCAATGATGGGGGTAGCTCTTCAACACACAACCCCACCAGGTGCCTATCAGGTAGCAGATGGGATAGTCAAACCTTAGTCAAACCTTCTCTTTTCTGAAATCCATAAAGTTATGGCCGAATTCAACTCAATACTAGTCTCCTGTGTCCTTCTTGTACCCCTCCCTTCACTTGCCACAGCGATTATGTGCCTATGTTAGCAATCACCAGGCTACTTGTCATCCACAACAATTGAACATAGGGGTGAACATTGGAACTTGCTTTCTACTGAATCAGACCATTGGCCTATATAGCTCAGCATTGTCCATACCGTCTTGGAAGTGGCTTTCCAGGAATTCAGGCTGGGAGTCTGTCCAAACCCTAATGGGAATTGCAGAGAGTGAACCTGGGAACTTTTTCATACAAGGCAGATGGTCTGCCACTGAGCTATAGCTGTTCCTCATATAATTCCACTTGTCTGCAGATGTAATAGCAGTGGGAAGGGAAAGAAACTCATCATCATTTACTTAAGGGTCATTCCTCACACTCTGGGGTTCTTAACACTTGATTACCCAACACTTGATGCCTCACAGCTAGATGTCTGAACTGACTTCGCTGAAAAGCATTGTGTCTGAGGGGGCATGTAAGTCATGTCTGTCATGTTTGGTCTGTGATGTTTCATTCACAAATGTAAGCCTGCTGTTGCTGAGAGAAGAGTGTGTATGAATAAACCACCATAAGAACACAAGAACCTGCTTGATTAGGCCAATGGCCCATCTAGTCCAGCATTCTGTTCTAACAGTGGACACCCAGATGACTAGATTGGTCAACCCCCTCTTTGATTTCTCAACCTTCTTATCACTGTCCTTCCATGGCATCTGGATAACTATTATCCCACCCTGCCTCCTTCTCTTCTGTCCAAGATTATGGTGCCAAAATCATTCACTTCTTTCATTCTTCAGATGATGTGATGATGCTTCACCTTAAACAAAACACAACACAACGGCTCCCTGTTCACTCCTGGATCCAGCAGAAATATCTAACCATTGCTTCCAAAGTACTTTCCCCATCTTCTTTCCATCCTCCTAGCTCAGCATCTTCCCTTCAGTTTGTGAGTCACCTGTTTCACTCTCAAGTATTCAAATGTCTTCTGCGATCTTAAATAACTCCACTGAGATAAGCCAATGTTGTGCCCTCCTGATGTGGTGGCCCTGATGTGGTGTTGGCTCGTCTTCTAAAATATATGGGATTATGTGGTGCACTTGGTTGGTGATGTAGTTTAGTTCTGTGTTAGGGATTCCCCATCGTCCTTCTGAGGTGGGGAGGTTCAGGTGTTTGGCACTTATTCTTGGCTTTTTTGTGTGAGAAGATAAACAAATTGTAGTATGGAAAACAGCCTTACAAGAAAAGCTAACCAACAGACTGAAACTGACATGGGGACAAACAGAAGAGGATACCTTCACTCCGGTATGGCTCTCCTTTATCACATACACAGCCCAACAAGACAAAAACATGAACCTACTGACAGAATACAATTCAGTATGGCTAGCTTAACCCAACAACCCTCCCCCCTCACACACGCACAAACAAATCCCACTGCAGCCAACCAAAGACAACCACCCCATCCTCTCTCACCACCAAGGAAACATAACATAGAAAGAGAACCTACCCAAGTGACGCTGACACAAAACCCCCACACATACACTAAGTAAAAGAACATAATCTTTACCATCCTACCTCCTCTCTTCTCTCTTTTCTTCCCAGCCCTATACTGCATATAACACCAATGTCTCTCAACAAATGTAACTGATCTGTAGAAAACACAACCTAAAGAAAGAGACAGTGAATGTGCTTTTGTAAACGAGGAAAATCTTTAATAAAAATGATTTTAAAACAAAAATCACACACCAACAGTGAGCACTTTCAGTTCAGCCCTAATATCTGTTTCAAAACCTCGTCTTACAGGAATATAGTCATACCTCGGGTTACAGATGTTTCGGGTTGCATAATTTCGGGTTGCACACCGCACTGAACCCGGAGGTACTGGAACAGGTTACTTCCGGGTTTCACGCTTGCACATGTGCAGAAACACTAAATCATGCTTTGCGCATGCGCAGAAGCGCCAAATCATGACCCGCATGTGCACAGACGCGGCGCTGCAGGTTGCGAACACTGCAGGTTGCGAACGCGCTTTCTGCACGGATCACATTCGCAACCGCAGCATCCACTGTATTAATTTTCTTTGCTGTTTGCAGGATTAGGTTTAATTCTGAATGTACTGGTATTAAGCTGCATGTGTTGCAGTCATATTAGACCCGATACGCTGCATTGTAGATACTTGTCCGGTGGTCTAATGCTATCCTCAGTGCCTCTTTCTCCTGTTCGACTGGGAGTTTGAACAGGATGCAATTGTTCTGAATGTTTAGGCGCTCTCCTTATCAACCCCCCAAAATGAAGAGCTATATAGCCAGTTGACAAATCCCTGGATCCAAATAGGCTTAAGCAAAATAACATTTTCGTTTTATCCCCCAGCAAATTGCCTAATGTGCCAACCTTATGGATTTAATGTCTGCAGCTTTCTCAAGCTGTAAACAAGCTTGCTTGTGTGGTTTAGCAGTGCTGAGGACACAAATCTAATTTGGCTTTCCAATAGGTTTTTTCAAAAGGGTGGTCTCCATGGAACCAGGGGATTAGCTTGGGCCAAGAGATCACTGAGGCCTTGATAGAGCTCAAGGCAGTGTAAGTCTGACATTGCCACTCCTTTTTAAATTCTTTGCTATTTCATGTAAGGCAAGCTTACACAACGAACTGGTATCTGAAGAAGTGTGCATGCACACGAAAGCTCATACCGATAACAAACTTAGTTGGTCTCTAAGGTGCTACTGGAAGGATTTTTTTTTATTTTGTTTCAACAACGAACTGCGTTTAGTTCATTTATATCAAGTCTTTCTTCCATAAAATTCCAGGTGGAACATCGTTGGAAGTACAGCAGCAGGAAGCATTCAGTTAGTAGCTCAAGGGTTAATTCCGCTGGCAGTTAGCCAACCCACCAACAAAGAGGTGGTGTTGGCACTGTTTCCTGGCAACCAGTCAGAATGGCATGACCCTTGTGGAGGTAATTCATGTTCTGATCAGCTATGTAGTTCTGAGGGATTTCCCCCTATACGTGTTAAATAGAAGCATAGAGTTGGAAGGGACCCTGAGGATCATCTAGTCCAACCCCCGGCAATGCAGGAATACGCAGCTGTCTTGTACAGGGATCGAACTTGCAAACTTGGGTTATCAGCACCACACTGAGTATCATCCTGCTGTGAGCAAAATCTGAATGTCAGAAAGGCACATCCTCTATGTTTCTTTCTTCTCAAACTCTTCAATATTTCTTGTTCGGTCTACTTACCAGCATTTCTCTCTCTCTTTCCAGACTCCATCTGCATTAATGACATTGTGAGCATATTCAAGTTATTAGATAATTTTCTTCCCAAACACAGTTGACAAGACTCATGCAGCTGTGACATGTGCCATCATACCATGTACTCTGGGAGAACATGTGACTCGACAGATTAGATGGAACCTATCAGCAAGTATGGTGGCCTCCTACATGCTTTTTAAAAACTTTTTAAAATGATTTTCAGTTAGTTTTACAGTCATTTTAACATTTCAAAACTCGACTTCCTTCCTCCTCTTTCTGTGGTTCCTTAAATTTATTTTTATCATTTTCTGCATTAACTTAACTTATTCTTTTACTCATCTACTTTGATTATATACTCTTATGACACTGCAGGCTACTACAAAAATACTGCCAATGTCCTTATCTGTTTACAATTTGTTGATAAATATGCAATAAACCATTTCCATTTTTTTAATAAAAAGTTTGTTGTCTTGATTTCTTATTTTTCTGGTAAATTTCACCGTTTCTTCATAGTCCATAAGTTTTGGTATCCATTCTTCTTTCATTGGGACTTCTTCTTCTTTCCATTTTTGGGCAAATAACATTCTTGCCGCTGTAGTCGCATACATGAATAAATTTCTATACTGTTTAGGTAGCTCTACCCCTATAATTCCCAGAAGAAATGCTTCTGGTTTTTGGTTTGCACTTTGCTCGCCCCTCCCCCCCCGCATAACCACTTTATTCGCATCCCAGACTACCTTTAAATTTGTCTCCTGATTTCAGTTAATTTCAAAATAATGCTTTAGAATCCCCCCTTTTCTAATATTTCTTGATCGTTTAATAAATTCTTATTTAATCTCCATCTCATTGGGAAACTTTGCCTTGTTCTTAATTCCACAATAATAGGGTTGTGACCTGATAATGTCCAAGGTAGAATTTCTACCTTCTTTACCTTAATGTACAAATGGCCTCCTTCATGCTTGACCATGACCCATATCTGTGACAAAACACATAATTTTGGGAGCCCAGTGTTTGACTTATTGGCTCATGAGTCATACAGGCCTGTGATAAGAAGTCCAAATGTGCTGTTAAATATAACTAGCTGTGCTGTGCAAGTACTTCACCCTACCTCAGTAACAAGACCTCTACTCCCTCTAGCCAATGCCCTATAGCAGCCTTTCTCAACCTTGATTTGTCATATATTGTTGGACTACAACTCCCATCAGCCCCAGCCATTATGACCAAAGAATCCGAGATTATGGGAATCTTAGTCCAACAATATATGAGGACCCAAGGTAAGGAAGGGCTGCCCTACTGAATCTCCTTTTTTGTCAGTATTTCTGTTTGTATACATGTAGACTTGGATCTGCTTTTAATCTAGTTGTCAAGACAAAATTGTGGTTAGCATGTAGGGAATGGTGTTTGTTTGTTTGTGTAATAACATGTACAGCTGGACTCCAGAGGTCACCTCAAGCTCATGTGTGATTAAAACTGAGAGATGAACAGCTGTGTGGGATTGTGATATCAACTCAATTTTGTATCTGCAGATCAAGTGGTGTATTTGTGCGCGTATGTGGTGGAGGTTAGTGGAAGTTCATTAATTTTACTGAAAAACAAGGCTCATCCTGGTGCTTGTATTCTATCGGTCATCTCATGTTCATGTAAGCCATCAAAAACAAGGGATTAAGCCAGCCTCCTGAGAAAACTCAGGCGCATTCATTACTGCCAAGGAGCCTGGGAAATCTAGTTTACCTTGCCTCACAGCTGAATCCACGGAATAGAAAGGCACTGGAAACTGAAATCTCTATGTTCCCTGATAGCCAGGAAAGTGAAATCTCCATGTTCCTGGTATCCAGAATGCTCCCAGACAGGGCCGTGAATATCTTTTGTTTTAACAAGGCATCCATGGAGCATCTGGACTTCAGAGTTGAAGCTTCTGATATTGCTGCCTCCTTGTGGGAAGGCTGCAGCTTTGTGGTAAAGCGTTTTCCTTGTATTCAAAAGATCACTGGTTCAACCTCCAGCATCTCCAGGTAGGAATAGGAATTCTTCAAGTACTGAAGAATTCATATATTAGGTAAAAAGTGCACATTTTACATAAAAGAGTACTAAATGTGCACAATATGAATGCAGACGTTTTGTGCATTCTTTCAAAACAATCCACACAAAGCACAGACGTGTGATTGAGAGCCTCCAATGTGGTGCCCTCCAGAAGTTGCTAGACTCCAGCTCCCATCAGGCACAACCATTTTCTCTGGCATTATTATTTGTTTATTTATTTATTTAACGCTGCCCATCTGGTTGGGTTTCCCCTGCCACTCTGGGCGGCTCCCAATCAAATATTAAAAACATGACAAAACATCAAACATTAAAAACTTCCCTAAACACTGCTGCCTTCAGATGTTTTCTAAAGGTCAGGTAGTTGTTTATTTCCTTGACATCTGGTGGGAGGGGATTCAACAGGACGGGCGCCACTACTGAGAAGGCCCTCTGCCTGGCTCCCCGTAACATCACTTTTCGCAGGGAGGAAACCACCAGAAAGCCCTCGGAGCTGGACCTGAGTGTCTGGGCTCAGTGATAGGGGTGGAGATGCTCCTTCAGGTATCCTGGGCTGAGGCCATTTAGGGCTTTGAAGGTCAGCACCAACACTTTGAATTGTGCTTGGAAATGTACTGGGAGCCAATGTACGGTAGGTCTTTCAGGACCAGTGTTATATGGTCTCAGCAGCCACTCCCAGTCACCAGTCTAGCTGCCGTATTCTGGATTACAGTGGTACCTCTGGTTAAGAACTTAATTCATTCTGGAAGTCTGTTCTTAACCTGAAACTGTTCTTAACCTGAGGTACCACTTTAGCTAATGAGGCCTCCGCTGCCGCTGCACCGCCGCGCGATTTCTGTTCTCATCCTGAGGTAAAGTTCTTAACCCGAGGTAGAGTTAAGTCTGTAATCTGAAGCGTTTGTAACCCGAAGCGTTTGAACCTGAGCTACCACTGTAGTTGTAGTTTCCGGGTCACCTTCAAAGGTAGCCCCACATAGAGCACATTGCAGTAGTCCAAGCGGGAGATAACTAGAGCATGCACCACTCTGGTGGAACAGATTAACCACACTCTACCTGTTGTCTTCAACAGCTCTGCTCAGGCCATCTTCCCTTTCTTTCTTAGACCTTCTTCTGACTCTCTACTTCTGATACATTCCACACCCCTTGCTCACCTTTGAAAGATCTGTAGTTCCTAGCCTAGCTATTCTGTGTGCTAAACTGAATGGGGCTGGGGGCGAGGGGGTTGCAGATGCCACAACAGTGTAAAGAAGCAACAGAGCTGAACAGAAATGGAAAAAAGTTGAACCCTCATACAATCAAAATGTTGGTGTTTTTTTAACAAGATGTTTCTACTCCTGTAATTCCTCCTCGAAAAATAAAAAATTGAGAGCATAGCCGTAAGTAGAATATGTTAGCACCAATGACGGGTAAAGAAAATAAATTATGTATGTCTGCTTTCTTCCCATATGTATTTTTCATTCTCCTTTGCCAGTTTCTAATTCTTCAACCCCGAGTTTGCCCTGCTTTGTGGGCTTGGATTAAATGCCGGCAAAACTTTGCATTCAGCAAATGCCAATCAGTGCTCAACACGGCAAATGAAACGCTTGTGATTTGTGCTGTTTTATTTTCTCCCTGTCAGCTTTGCTGGAATTACAGGGGAAGTGGAGTGTATCGTGATCAGCTGCATATTATTTGGAGATCATTTAAATCTGTTCATTTCAATGTGAGGTAAAGTTTGCAGGCAATGGGTTAAACTGGAAGCAGAATTAAATGGACTGTTCAGCTTGGACCCAAATCCATCCTAATCCAGTATTCTGTTTCAAGCGGCGACCACAGAGACTACCAGGAAACCAATTAACAAGAAATGAAAGCAACACTTTGACTCTGTTTTTGCTGCAAGGCCACCTTGTCATCTGGGTCAACAGGACCTCGATAGGTAGCTATTTGTGATGATGATCCACTCTAGATGGCTCTCCCTTCCTTGTTTAATCCCCACAATGACCCTGTAATGTAAATTAGTCTGAGAAACAGTGCCTGGCTCAAGGTCACCCAGTGAACCCTGGTCTCTGAAATCCTGGGACGTGGCTGGCGCTGTGGGTTAAACCACAGAGCCTAGGACTTGCCGATCAGGTGGTCAGTGGTTCGAATCCCCGCGATGGGGTGAGCTCCCGTTGCTCGGTCCCTGCTCCTGCCAACCTAGCAGTTTGAAAGCACGTCAAAGTGCAAGTAGATAAATAGGTACCACTCCGGTGGTGTTTCCGTGCGCTGCTCTGGTTCGCCAGAAGCGGCTTAGTCATGCGGGCCACATGACCCGGGAGCTGTACGCCGGCTCCCTCGGCCAATAAAGTGAGATGAGCATCGCAACCCTAGAGTCGGCCACGACTGGACCTCATGGTCAGGGGTCCCTTTACTTTTACTCTGAAATCCTAATCGAATGCTTTAAGCACTACACCACACTGGTTCTCAGTGATTACAAGAGTCGCATGAATCATAGGATCATGGATTGGAAGGGACCCCGAGGATCATCTATTCCAACCCCATGCAATGCAGGAATCTCAGCTAAAGCATCCATAACAGACGGCTATCCAACCTCTGTTTAAAACCCCCAAGGAAGGAGAGTCCACAACCTCCTGGGGGGGGGGTGTTCCTTTTTATTTATTTATTTTTATATAAATTTTATTAGTTTTTTGACATACCATTTTCAGCAGTGATTAAACATATTTTTACATCTTATTCAAATTTTTTTGACTTCCATCAGCCCTGCCTGAAAATTTTCCAATCTAATCTCTTAGTATGCATTTCTTATTTTCCCTATTACATTTCAAACTCATAACCAATATCTCTATCTTTTTCTACTTTGTAACACTTCATATATTTCTCCTTACAAAACTTCTTGTAGTCCTACTAGCGTAATTTGTTTATTACAGTTGCTCTTCAAATAATTCCTATACTTCTTCCAAACTTTTGTAAATCTCTGGTCCCGCAGGTTTCGAATCCTTCCTGTCGTTTTGTCCAATTCTGCATAGTCCATTAATTTCACCTGCCATTCTTCTTTTGTCGGAATTCCTGAGGGAGAATGTTCCATTCTCAAACAGGTCTTACTGTGAGAAATTCCCCCCCCCCCCCCAAAATATTTGGATGGAATTTCCTTTCTTGTAACTTGAGGACATTGGTTTGAGTCTTCCCCCCAGGAGCAGCAGAAAACAAGCTTGAAGATGGCTTGCCACATGAATAAAATCAGCCTGAGAACCCCATGGAATTAGCATAAGATGCAGCCCACCTTGTGTTGTCCATCCTTGGCCTAGAGCGAGAGCAGGAAATGCTGTCCTCAATCTGAGTCGCTTGACATCATTCTTGGCCATATAGGCTAGGGTGAGGGAAGAAATGGCAGCTCTCAGCCACTGGGAGGAGGGTTGCCACTAGGAAACAGCCAGTGGAAACAACCAAGAGGAAGAAGTAGAAGGAGAGATATTAAAAGGCATTTGCGGAGCAGCTTTAGACCCCGGACTCACAGTCAATTTTTTTTATTCAATTTTCCAAATTTATAACAAACATGTCCACATACATAAACAAAAAACATCAAAAAACAAGCAAACAAACAAACATACATCCTAACTGTAAAAATTCCACTTTTGTTATCATTGTTGGGTGACTTCCTCAAATCCCCCTGGCTGAGTTTCCATATATGTCATTGTAGCAGTTTTCCAAAACTAGTTTCACATAAAATTTACTTGGTCCATTAACCTTTCTTTCTTTTCATTTTAACTTTTATCCATAGTATTCTACAACATCACATATTTTAATCCTAGGCCAATCTGATACTCACAAGTAATTCTATTTAATTTATCTTAACATATTTAACTAAATAATCTTTGAATTTCTTCCATTCCTCTTGATACTCCTCCTCTTTCTGGTTGTGGACTCTTCTGGTCACGTCGGCTAGCTCCAAAAAAATCCATCATCTTCACCTGCCATTCCTCCACTATTTGTACTTCTTATGATTTCCAATTTTTGACCAGCAAAATTCTAGCTGCAGTTGTGGCATACAAAAACAATCTGACATCTTTCTTGGGCAATTCCAAACCTATTATTCCAAGTAAAAAGGCTTCTGGTTTCTTAACTCACAGCCAATTTTAAGAGGAAATAGCTCTACCAACCTGAGCTGAAAATTATCTACATTTTATACCCTGCAGATGATTTGCATCAGAAGCTCTCTTTCAATTGAGCTAGAATGGGAGATGGGGAACCTATGGTCCTCCAGATGTTGGTGAACAGCAGCTCCTAACAGCCACAGCCACAGGGCCAATAGTATGAGATAATGGGAGTCACAAAATCATAGAGTTGGAAGGGACCATGACAGGTGGCCATCTAACCTCTGCTTAAAAAATCTCCAAGGAAGGAGAGTCCACAACCTCCCGAGGCAGACCGATCCACTGCTGTAATCCAACAGCATTTGAAGGCCCACACCTGCGTTTTCCAGCCCTGAGTTAGACTGTCACTGATTTGCAGCAGGGTTTGGGGGCTTTCAGGCCACACTTTTGAACCTGGGCTGTTGAAGCTGCCCATCAATCATAACCAGGACCTCCATAGCAGACTGAGCAAGCACACAACTCACCTGATCACAGTCTTTCCCATTCTGGTGAGATGTCTCGTATTTCTATTCAAGTTACAGCAGCTATTTTGACATTTGCATCCATACAGTAAATGCAAATTTTATGCAAAAATGTGTAATCTTTTTTGTAGCCATGTATATTGGATTATCAGGGACACAGCCCGTTTTGTGATGAAGCCATTTCTCACAGCACTTCTTTCATAGCCCACTAGAGCACTCGGTTGCACAGTTTGGGACCGACTCCAAGATGCGCCGACTCCATGTCCTTTCTCTCCTAACTGGTACTCCCACCCAGGGAGCCAGCTGCTCTACCTTGATCGCCCTAACTAATTCACATTCCTTGGCCTTGTATCGCAGACCTGGTAATTGCTGCTCAACATGCTCCGTGAGGTTTTATAAAATATTAATTGCTTATTATTCTTATTACAGGTGGGGAAGAATGGCTCCCTCTTGCAAAGTAATTGCCTCCTTGCCAAGCCTCTCCAATGCACTCATGAACATAAGAGAAATGTGTGCTCTGAAATCAGATATAGGCTCAAGATGCAGAGGGCTGATTTGGGGGAAAATAATTCCTGTGAAGGGAACTGGGTGGCGCTGTTGTCTAAACCACTGAGCCTAGGTCTTGCTGATTGGAAGGTCGGCGGTTTGAACCCCCATGACGGGGTGAGCTCCCATTGTTCGGTCCCAGCTCCTGCCAACCCAGCAGTTTGAAAGCATGTCAAAGTGCAAGTAGATAAATAGGTACCTCTCCAGCTGGAAGATAAACGGCGTTTCCATGCACTGCTTTGGTTTTGCCAGAAGCGGCTTAGTCATGCTGGCCACATGACCTGGAAAAACTGTCTGCAGACAAACGTTGGCTCCCTCGGCCAGTAAAGCGAGTTGAGTGCTGCAATCCCAGAGGTGTTCACGACTGGACTTAACTGTCAGGGGTCCTTTACCTTTTTTAAAATTCCTGTGAAGGGATGCATGATCAAAACTTGACATTGGGACAGACTAACTTTCAGCCCTAGCCAGCAGAGCTGAGACTGAGTGGATCTGAAGTACCACACATCTGGAGGGCAACAGATTGAGGAAAGATGCTGGAGTATGTAAAGAAAAGCAAGCACATCTTTTCTCCCTTAGGAGCCTTTATTGATGCAGTGAGGTGTATTCAATTTATGGGGTGGGTGGGAATAAGTTAAATTCACACCACTTCCACCCTATAAATGTCTGCTCTGGAGCAAGCTCTACTGGGTGCAATGGGACCTAGGTGTATATTGGAGTGTGTCCTTCATTTCTCTTAGCTACTGAAATAATACAATGGGAAGAGAAATGGATTGTTAACATTCAGATCATGCCTGTTTTAAAGCACCAGGTGATTTCTGCATGTCACTTTTAATTACCACTCGGTGCTTAATTCTTCCTGGAAAAGCCCACAGTCCCACTGTCTCTTGTTCACACCATCCTGCTACAAGGTCACTCTCTAGGTTCAAATATCAAGGGTTCCCTGGCAGCTGTTAATGCCTTTCTGCCTTCTGCCTTGAGATCAGATTTCCAGAGCAGCCTCTTTGCATTTGGCTTAAAGCAGACAGTTTTGCTGTCTTAAAGCCCTCTTTTTTCAGTTGATGAGAAAGGGAAACTGAAATAGGGCTGTTTGTTGCAACATTTGATCAATTTGCATCCACGCTAACCCTAACAATGTGAACCTGTCCAATTTGGTAAGTACATCTGCAGAGGTCCAGCTCTAAGAACCCATGCCTTCCAGGATGAGTTGGGTGGCTTTCAGAACCTACTCGGTGGTGACACCTCAGCTGTGCAACTCTGCCCTCTTTTCTGTTCACCTGGGAATCAAATTGAATGGGTATTGTTGTTTTTAGGTTACAGATAAAATATAGTTTTCCTGGGCTCTAAATGCTTTTATCAACCACATTAGTGATTTGGTTGATGCCAGTGGTTTTGGTCCTCTGAAAAGGTGATGGCAGCAAAAGCCAGTGACAGAGAAACGAGAAAGGGGGTTCCTCGGGCCAGATCCTAGGCCCAAGTTGATCCTATCCTTCACCAATCTTCTGCATATAGAGTGCTTGTCCTGCCACTTAAGCTATGACCCCTTTCCATTTTCAAAGGAGAACTCAAAATTCTAGGATGGAATAGAGTGTGGGATGTAACATAAGCAGTCAAGTACAACACTTCCTGTTTGCCTAGAGTGGACACGCAGGGGGGTGTTACTCCAGCCAGGAGGAGACTTCTTGTCACACCTGGTCTGGAGCTTCCTTCCCCTGCGTGTGACCAGGTAGGTGGGCGTGACCTTGGGAGACCCCATAAAAGGGGCTGGTCACGCAGCCACCTCCCTCTTCTTCCTCTTGATGCTATTCCCTTCTGATACTGTTGTATTTTGCTGTCTTCTGGCTCTCAGTCACCAGGACATAGGCTCTTTCCATATGGGATGAACTCAAGCCGTCTTTTGTAACTCTAAGCTAAAGCCAACTGTGAACTGAATGTGAGTAAACCTCTTATTACTTTTAAAAGAAGCTTCTTGTGTCTTTATTCTTTTTAGGAGGGATAAAAGGGGTCTTACCAGAATGGATTGCTTAAGTAAAGAGATTCAAATGAATCTGCCAACTAGCTTCCTGCTATATATTGGGGAATGTCGTCGCTTTGCTGCTGAGTCACAAGCGTGAGTTAGGAAGGATACTATTAAATCAATATATCCTCTCCTAGTATCTACAACATTCCCACACAGAGGAGCTGTGCATTGCCCTGCCACCTGCCCCTTCTGCTGCATATCCCATTTCTTGGTCAAGAAGTTGTGAACTGAGAACAGATTTTTCTGCCAAAACCAGGCAAGGCAAGGAACACTGGGAACAGTGTGGAGGAAAGGGGTTCTACAGGAGTACAATGCTCAACTCACCGTGCTGGTGGGCTCTCAATTAGTTTTGAAATAAAGATTTTTCATTTTGCGTGCAATTTTGTGCCTGGCTATTATCGCTTTAAGTAAAGAAAATATGCAGCCCATTAACTCTGGCAAATTGTCACTTACATTACTGATGAGTATGAAATGAGGGTGTATGTTTCTCCCCTTAGGAAGTCAACTTGCAGGAATCCATCAATCTTCTTGTGTTTAATGGCAATTAAGCAGACATTCCTTCTCCACCTCCCCATTGCCCCCCACTGATGTTTTAACAGATCACAACTTAACCACGCAGCTCATGTGTATTAAGCGACCATGGAAGATAAGATGAAGGTCTCTTTGACCGTACGTTCCCCCCACTTGGAATGGAGAGGGAGGTGGCCCTTTTATTGCATTTTGCACACAGAAAAGAAATGAGAAATGCATTAAGTTATTAAATGTGAAGTGCATTAAATCTGTGATTAAGGGTAAAGTACAGGAAACATGGATATCTTTCAGAACATGGCAATGAGACCAGACTTATTATATAGCTGGAGAAGGAATTTGTTGGGTCTGATTTTCCCACTGGGCCAACCTGATGCTCCCTAATTTGCTTGTGGATCAGAATGCAATTCCCAGCCAAATTGCACAACCTGCCGGAATTTGCAATGTCACTTCAACATGCCAAAAGTAGACCTCACAATCACCGTATTTTTCGCTCCATAAGACGCACCTTTTTCCTCCTAAAAAGTAAGGGGAAATGTGTGTGCGTCTTATGGAGTGAGTGTGTGGTCGATCACTGGCTCCCTTTCTGGCCCTGCCCCCTTGCCCAGGCCTCCATTGTTGAATGTTCTGCAGATGGAGGCTGTTTGTTTTCCCAGCAACATGTGACTGGCTGATTAGATTATCTGTCTGGAAACTGTAGAAACAGCTCCCTTTCCTTTCCTAAAGAAGCTGCAGAACTGTGAGATGAACACCATAAAAACAGGATTTTTTCCCTTTGCAAACTAAGCTCAACAACTTTGAGCTTATCCTCAAAAAGAGGGGCTTTTCCCCTTTGCAAAAGAAGCTGCACAACTGTGAGCTGATCCCCCCCAAAATGGGGCTTTCCCCCTTTCCTCCTCTAAAAACTAGGTGCGTCTTATGGTCAGGTGCATCTTATGGAGTGAAAAATATGGTAAGCATGGAGGCAGCAATGCCACCAGTTGTGGAAACTGCAGGAGGGGAGAGTGTAGTTGTGCTTGGGTCATGCTTGAGAGTTTCCCACAGACATCTGGGTGGCCACCGTGAGAACAGGATGCTGTACTAGATGGGTCATTGGCGTGATCCAGCAGGCTCCTCTTATGTTCTGGGAGGGACTGGGCAGAGGAGAAATGGTGGAGACCGCCTTCCCACCCTGACCCTTCCAGGGAGGAGGAAGAGGAAGACAGTATAGGCTTACAACAGTGGTTTGTGGGAGGTCACAGCTCAGAGGCAGATGAAGGGAAAAGTTTGGAAATAATGGGAGAGGAGGAGGAGGAGGAGGAAGCAAGATGACAACTGATAGACACAGTGTCACTGGAAAACCTTCCAGACCCCCCTCCGAGAACCCAGCAAGCCTTGAAAGTAGGAGAGCAAAAAGGTCAAAGACAGAGGGCACATAGCAGCACCCGTAGAAGAAGTGGGGATGATGACGAATGAGGAAATGAGAGGCAGGGGTGGAGATTCATTCGGGACAATGCCATTATCCAAGAGGTTGGGTTCTATAGCCTCTCTTTGTAATTACTGGATAAAAAAGGATGGTAAGAAACCATCCCTTGTCTTTATACTTTCCTGGGCAACCAGCCGGGAGCCACTGACAGCATCCTGACATGTTCCTGTGGAGGACTTCTGATGCCCACACACCACACATGGATGCTGAGTGGTCACAGGATGTGAGGCACAGCAGTAGATACTCTCCTGCTGCTACAACACATAAGTGCCTTGCAAATGGGTGATGTGTGAAGAGGCCTTTGGCATGGAATGCTTCCAACTGGTGCCATAACTCTCTTGATTCTTGCACAGGCTGTGAACCAGTAGAGTAGTGTGATGAAGCAGGCAAGTTGTTGGCATTTCTCCCTGTGTTTTTGGATTAAGACATTAGCATTCATTCTGAGAGGCTCTTCTGCCTCTGAAGCACTATTATGATATGACAAAAAGATTGAACCACCCAAAGTGGAAGATTATTGCTTGTTTTCCAGCCATTGGGTCCGGTAAACGGAGCTGTGAAAATTAAGCATGGAAGCATTTGCCGGTACTCCCAAAATTACTTTCTTTTCTTTTCTTTCTTTCGTTTTTTCTTTTTTAATGAAACGAAAATGTGATTGTAATGGATATAGTCTCACTCCAACGACTTAAGTAACAATATCAAATATAGATGTAGATTGCTCAACTCCAGCAGGCTATGAAACTTCATTGAGCGGGATGTGATGTTGGGGTAATTGTGTCTTCTTAAAAGCTCATCAGGTTTGTTAGTCTAGAAAGTGGCGAGACTCTAAGCATGGCTGGAAGCCATTAAGGGTGGCGGCAAGGGCTGTGGGTGGGAGATAATCAGATGCTCCATCTGGAAATTACCTGAAGCTTATCATTAATGCTTAATAGTTTCACAAAAGCACCGGGAGGGAGGAATGCTAAGATGCATGCATTTAACTCTGCATGTGGCTTGCCATGGCAACATAGGAAGTGTCCTTCTTTCGACTCATGGAATCATAGAACTGCAGAGTTGGAAGGGACCCAAAGGCTTATCTTTTAACCCCCCTCATTGCAAGGATCACAGCAAAAGAATCCTGGGCAGACAGCCATCCAAGCTTTGCTTAAAAACCTACAGTGAAGGAGAGTCTACCACTTTCCGAGTCTGTTCCAGTGTCAAACAGCTCTCACCATCAGAAAGCTCTTCCTGATGTTTAATAAGAACCTCCTATCTTGTGATTTGAACCCGTTGGTTTGGTTCTTTCCCTCTGGAACCGTAGAAAACAGGCAGCCCCGGGCAGGGTTTTCTGCGCTTATTTGGCCCTCCTCACCTCTGGGCAGCAAAAGGGCATCTGAAGGTGTGGCTTGCATTCTTGCAGGGGTATATGTTAGGAAAACATTATTTAAGAAACAGATAAAAGTTCCTGGAAGCTTTAAAGAGGGTTCCAGAATTTTCTTTAGTGAGTAGGAGTGGGGCTTTAGGCTTGATTAGTGTCAGCTGGTGGTGCAAATAAAGGAAGATGCTATTTCCTCACGAGGAAAGCACATGCACACGCTGTCAGCACGCATGCTGACAACAAGGTTGGAAGTAAGACATTGTGTGCTGCTGATACTGTGAGTTTTGCTGTATCAGGATTGTTAATTGCTGGACTGAAATTATACCGTGCTGGAGAGATAAAGAAGGGATGTAAATAGCTTGCATATAATAGTAAGAGAAATGCTCATGCAACCAGTCAAGCAATAAAGAAGCTCTTGACTTTGAATTTGAGTATGACTCCTGTTCTTGCCCTCTGCCTCCGGGGAAAACTCTGCTACAAACAGTAAGAAGTGGCTTTACCAAGGTGCCACCACACTAGCAGAGACATGCAGTGGAAGTGTGTGGGCCGTAACCTCTAATAGTATAATGGGGGGGCCTCCTTTTGGCAGGACCTAATGATTTTCAGGTCCATTCAGATGCCTCGGGTAACCTGGTTTTCAGTGTCTACTTTGAGGGCTGATGGTGCTCCCAGCCTCATTGGACGGGAGATGGGATCACAAGTGATCTCACCTTCCTAGAATTCTTTCTCATCCTGGCGGCTGTATATATCTGGGTGGAGGAATTCCAAAATTCCAGGGTGCATTCTTTTGGTCTGACAATCAGGAAGTGGTGAAGGTTCTAGCCAAAAGTCCTCCCATTCAGATTAGGTCCTTAGGTTGCTCCATGCATTTGTGTTGCATTGCTTGCTGGCCAACATCTCATTTTCAGACAGTTCCATTCCAGGCCTTGATAATAGGATGCTCTATCCCAATTTCAGGACAATGGTTTCTATGCCCTATCACCCAGGGCTTGGCCGATGCCAGAGTCCAGGGCCATCATACCCATAGGCACTAGGGGTGTGGGGCACCCAGGCACCGGGCTCTCAGGGGCGCCAGGCCGAGAGTCCAGGGCCCGAGAGTTGAGTCCGGGGAAGAGCCCGCCCATCAGTTGGAGTGTCATGGCGGGCTCTTCTGCTGCGGGCGGCTCTGTGCCGTGAGTTTGGGGGTGACCGAGCCAGTGAGACGCTGAGGCGCCCGGCCAGCTCCACCCTTCTGTGCGCCTGTGACTGGGCAACCTGGGGGAGGGGGGCACTGGGCAGATCTTTGCACCCCAGCACCACATATGCTTAAGACAGCCCTGCCAGAGTCATTTCCCAAACACTTCTGGGCAATTGGATACATACCATGATGCAGGGAGTATTGCAGTCCAGGACATGGTCTTCCTTCAAGGCCTTCTGGTCTCAAGCCAGGGCTGGCCCATGCCTCCCCACAGCTTGGAAGAAGGATGTCCTTCCATTTCTCATCTTCCTTAAGAAGCAGGGGTTCGCAGTTAAGACTTGCTTGTGGCTGCAAACACCTTCTGGGGGCTCTCCAACCCATGTGAGCATTTTCATGTATGCAGGCTATTAGAGGGATGGTCCAGGAGTCACCGTCAGTCCCAAACACCTGGAGACCTATTACATATGATCTAAAGGTTATATGGAAAGCACTGGGCTTCATCTGCCAGTCAAATCCTCCTTAAACAGTGGTGCCCAGAACTTGACACTGGACTCCAGGTGGGATCTGACAAAAGCAGAATAGATTGATGCTATTATTCCCTTTGCTCTGGACACCAGACTTCTCTTGATGCAGCTTAGAATTTCATTAGCCCTTTATTTATTTTTTTGCTACAGACACATTCTGCACACTCATGCAACCCAAACAGACTGTTCCTTGTGATTTTCCATGGAGGATATTGATTTCCCCAGGGAATTGATATATAATGCAACACTATGTGGATTTCCCCCCAAAGTGTGAAATCTGTGACGGCCGTGGAAAAAAATAACAACCGAGAAACCAAATATATAGCTGTATCTATAACGGTGAATACTGATCTATAGTGTGATGTCCTGGAGAAGAGACTGGTGAGATTTGTCACTCTGTTTCCTGTATTAAAATGGATCTTCCAAAATGCAGCCATGCCAAAATCGATATCAGATAATTGGAAAAGGGAATCGTGAGCCTGAAGAGAAGATTAAGCTAGAACAAGGGTATAAAATGTGATAATTAAACGAGTACTTTTGTATTCTCCAGGTGGGCCCAAAGGAAAGTGCTTACATTGTCGTTTAATGCAGATCAAGGGGGGAGAAGAGGGAGTGGTATTAACAGCCAGTTGTAACATTGGAGTTTAATGGGGCTTAGGGGTCAGAAAACTATCAGAAGATCGATCATTTCTCCCCTTTATAGTCCCCAGTTAAAACACTTACAGATGGTAAATCTTCTTTATCCCTCCTTTTGTTGCATAATTGTGTGCGCATTAGCGTCCTGATCTATGCATGCATTCGAAAATCATGTACTTGGAAGCATTTCAAACACTTCATAACTGCCAACTTCATATTCGCCTGGTCAGACCTTGCTTTGCTGTTGGCTCTGCCTGCCCGGTTCCTTTCTGTGTCCAAGGAAGGAACTCTGCATGACAGGAGACCCTAGGCTGCACTGCTAGAAATGCCTTGTCTGGCATCGTCCTTTAAGAGCCAGTGTGGTGTAGTGGTTAAGAGCGGTGGACTCATAATCTGGTGAACCGGGTTCGATTCCCCGCTCCTCCACATGCAGCTGCTGGGTGACCTTGGGCTAGTCACACTTCTCTGAAGTCTCTCAGCCTCACTCACCTCACAGAGTGTTTGTTGTGGGGGAGGAAGGGAAAGGAGAATGTTAGCTGCTTTGAGACTCCTTCGGGTAGTGATAAAGCGGGATGTCAAATCCAAACTCTTCTTCCAAAACTCTTCTTAAGACTTTCGGGCTCCAGCTCTCCACAACAACCGCAGTTAACCTTGGTGACTCTGGGCTACAGAACACACCCTCCAGCTCTTGGTTCCATTTCTTTATTATTATCTTATTTCATAAAATTTGTATATCACTTGATTGCAAAAAATAAATAAATCTCAAAGCGTTTTATAAAAAGAATATTTTTTTTTGTAAAAACAAAAATGAAACATTCAAAAGATTAAAACCACCAATAAATTAAATAGTTTGTAGGAGAGTTGGGTGGGGTGTGTGTGTATCTCAGCTTTCAACCAATGCACCCTTTTGGTTTCAGATAGTACATGGGTTTTAGGAACACAAGAAGTTGCCAGGTCAGATCTCTGATCTATCTAGGTAAAAGGTAAAGGACCCCTGGATGGTTAAGTCTAATGAAATGCGACTATGGAGCTCATCTCGCTTTCAGGCCGAGGGAGCTGGCATTTGTCCACAGACAGCTTTCCAGGTCATGTGGCCACGGCTTCTGGTGCAACAGAACACGATGACAGAAACCAGAGTGCATGGAAATGCTGTTTACCTTCCTGCTGCAGCAATACTTATTTATCTACTTGCACTGGCCTGCTTTCAAACTGCTAGGTTGGCAGCAACTGGGACAGAGAAACGGGAGCTCACCCCGTCGCAGGGATTTGAACCGCCAACCTTCTGATTGGCGAGCCTAAGAGGGGACACGGGTCTAAACCACATGAGCAGGGGGCAATTTCTAGCACTTGAGATGATCCAGGCCAGTCACTCCACAGAAAGGGAGCATAAAGGATCTAAGCTGGACACGGGGGCTGGTTGGTGGTGAAGAAGCCAACACAAAAAGAAACCCTTTCTCTGATCCGCAGAGTTTTCTAACCCCTGGCAGTTGGTTATAGAGTCTGGACTTCTGGATTTCCCTTCCTAAGAAAAGGGAGAAGTAGAAACTGCCAATGGACATGGAGTGGTGGTGGCTGATAGAAATCCCAGTGAAACACTGAAACATCACTTCCATCAGTTTCAATCCTAAATCAACAATCTAGATAAGTGATGGGAGACTCTGTCCATTGTGGTTTCTCTTTTCTCATTTGTCCACTCTTAAGTTCAGTTCTCCACATCAATATGTGTTTGTTTGGTTTTTTTAAAAAAAGGTCTCCTGAAATCTCGCCAGTATTTTAGTGTAAATTTCTCCTAATACATATAAATAATTTTTGTATGTAGGCCTAATCTACTCAGGGTCCCTTCCAACTTTACAATCCTATGATTGTAGAATCCAGGTCTAAATCCATATTGCTAAGATCACAGGGGCCAAGCTATTTTGGTTCAGGAATGGCTCTAGCTGTCCTACCAAACAAAGCTAGCGATAGGCACTCCTAGCTGCCATGGCCTCAACTAACAAAGATGGAGCCAGGAACATCCCCAGACTCTGTTCAGACAGGTAACTGACCAATCTCCTGTGTAGAAATAATAAGAAGACATTTCTACCATGCTTTATTGCTGATTTCATGGGGTGGTTAATGCAAGTTAAGAGGCAGATAAACCATTCAAAGCAATTTTGAACAGTTGAAATCATGCATCTGCTTTGAGTGAAGTTGACTGTCGAGAGTTTGGGCTCCTTCACATTAAGCTCAAACACAATATCCCAGGATCCAGTTGTCCCACCTTTCCGTTGTATTTTTCAGCGGAACCGAAATACAAGGAGGTCAGATTAATTTCCCTAGTTGCATTTCAAAATATTTTCTGACTCCCATGCAGAGCATTACAAGAACAGGCCTCTTCTCAGAAGCAACAAAGCGTTTACACTTTCATTACACCTTGCAGACCTAAAAGGAGCCAAAATCTGCAATTTCTTTCCGTCGAATGCCATAAAAACAAAGAGATCGTTTGCAATGCAGTAAAAATACACTAATTGCTTTTTGCTGGTTTTTTTGTTTTTGTTTTACAGGGGTATGGGGACCCAAGAACAAAATAGGCTTTGTTTTTCATTTAGAAATCAGGGGAGTGGATAAAAGATACAGCCCAACAACGTTTTTTAAAAGCAACGTCGCAGGATGTACATTTTTAATATCTTGGCCACTTGTATACTGCAACCTAGAGACTTGAAGCATTCTCTCTCTCTCTCTCTCTCTCTCTCTCTCTCTCTCTCTCTCCAGTTTGATGTTTTCCCTGGTTGAAAAAAATCTCTACTCTCTCTCTCACACACAACTTTGTTTACTTTCATTCAGGGGCGGGAAACCATTTTTATCCCGAGGGCCACTATCCCTTCTGGGACATATTCCAGGGGCCATGTTCTGGTGGTGAGTGTAGCCCTAAGCCAAAGTGGGTGGGGTGGCAAATGTTAATTGTACATTTGTACAATAGGCTACACACCTTCCTCTTTCCTCCATCTAAGCAGGTGAGAGGCACTGTTGTGGGATTTCCACTCAAAATCACGAAATACATGATTGCCAGGCAGGCACATGAGGGACTGAAACTCCTAGAGTTTCTGAATAAATATAGAAGGGACTGTAAGATGAGCTGAAATAGACTTGGAGCCCTGTAGTGATTTCATGCTCTTTATTGCAGCTTGTAAAACAGTGATTGAATTGCCCCCAAACCTCAGGCTTTTATATACATTATTTACATAATGAGTCCTGTCTGACTGGCTGATTCTTCTTCCCTCCTGGAGCCTGACTGGTCTTTTCCTGCAGGCCAATCAGCTGTTGCATTCTACGATCCTACTTGCCTATTCTAGGATCCAAGCTTAGTACATAACAGGAGCCTTCCTTAATGCTTTGGTGTGAACTTCTAACAAAGGAGATAATCTGATGTGTTTCCTCTCTACCTGAGCTATGAGGGGCATTCATTAAAGATTTCCCCTGACGTACTTCCCGTGGACTGAGACAAACGAAACTGGGCACAGTTATTTGTCCTTCTCTACATAGCTACCAGCAAGAGTCAAACATTTCTCCCATTGCTTTATGCAGCTGTGGAGACCTCATCTGTATAAGTCGGCAAGTTGTGTCAGAAGCCACAACTTGACCTCAGAAATCAGCTTTCATCGTCTGGAAAAAGCTTGCCCTTCAAAAATAACTTCATAGTTGGAAAGAGGTGGAAGTCAGATGGTGTGAGGTCAGAAGAATAAGATGGGTGAGGAAGGATTTCATAGCCACAGGACCATGCTTCCGTCTGAATAACATTCGAGTTGTGAACCGGGGCGATATGCTGCAGGAGGTGAACAACTTTGGTCAGCATACCATGTTTCTCGGTTTTGATGGCCTTCCACAATTCCTGCAGCAGTGAAAGATAGTATGTCCCAGTAATTGTGGTACCCTTTGCCAGGAAATCCATCATCACTACTCTGCTCTGGTCCCAAAAGACCGTGAGCATGACCTTGCCTGCTGCCGGTTGGACACGTGCCTTCTTTGGAGGTAGTGAGGTAGAGGGCTTCCATTGTTTGGACTGGAATTTAGTCTCTGGGTCATAATGATGGACCCATGTTTCGTCTTGAGTAATTAGTCTGGCAAAGAAGCCATCATGGTTTTTGTGAAACATGGCCAAAAGAGCCTGTGAGCATGTGACTCGTTCCTGCTTCTGAAAAGGCACCAGCAGTCGGGGAACCCACCATGCGGACACCTTTCCCATGTGCAAATGGTCATGGATGATTATTTCTACAGAGCCCACACTGATCTTGACATCTGCAGCTAGTTGGCAAACGGTTATGCATCAATCCTCCAAAATGGTGGCCTCCACTTGCCGGATGGTGTCTTCATCAGTGGCGGGTTGTGGTCTCCCAGGAATGGGAGCCGTTCCACCGAAGTTCGACCACACTTGAACTGACGATGCCAGTGCTTGACTACATCATACAATGGGACAACCTCCCCATAAGTCCCTTTCATCTCATCAAACATCTCCCATGGTGTGTGTCCTTTCAAATACAGGAACCTGATGACCACTCTGCCTTCAACTGGTTCCACTATCAGATGTTACTCCACGTTAGCACCAGTAACAGAGAAACTGTTAGGAGTTCAGAGCTACAAATTACCATGTTTCCTATGGAGAGATGCATCATCATACTTGTGCAATTTCATCCTCCTACAAAAACTGGAAGTGGGACAGGGAAAATCTTTAATGAACGACCCTCGTATCTCTCTCTTCTTTCAAGCTAGCGATGTGAGCAGCTGTAAATGCCTAGACTCCACTAAGCCCACACTCCATTTGGGAAACTATTTTTGTAACTAAGAAATATTTTCACCTGAATACTACTTCAATGTATTTGCTTCCTGCATTGAAATGTACCGGTAAGTAAACCTTTTGTTTACTTGACTAAAGCATGCGGTTCATTCTTAGCAACGGAGACAAAGAACAGAAAAGTCAGCAGACCACAAATAAACAGGGATAAAAAGGTGTAATTGCCTAATTCCTAGATTTTGGTAGATTTCAAAAGTGCATAAGTGTTTTTATGCTGCTAGAAGGGCTTTACAGACTGTTTACTCTCATATTTCTCCCACACACATGGGATAGGAGTTTTACCTAGCCACTGTGATCCATCCGACGGTCACCTCCAGGCTTTATTATTGTAACTCGCTCTACGTGGGGCTGCCCTTGAGACTGACCCAGAAATTCCAGCGGGTGCAGAATGCCGCGGCGAGACTCCTTACGGGGTCCTCGCTGCGGGATCACATTCACCCGGTGCTATACCAGCTGCACTGGCTCCCGGTGGAGTACAGGATCAGGTTTAAGGTGCTGGTTTTAACCTTTAAAGCCCTATACGGCCTAGGACCCTCATACCTACGGGACCGCCTCTCCTGGTATGTCCCACGGAGGACCTTACGGTCTTCAAACAAAAACATCCTGAAGGTCCCAGGCCACAGAGAGGTTAGGCTGGCCTCAACTAGAGCCAGGGCTTTTTCGGCTGTGGCTCCAATCTGGTGGAACGCTCTGTCACAAGGGACTAGGGCCCTGCAGGACTTGACATCTTTCCGCAGGGCCTGCAAGACAGAGCTGTTCCACCAGGCCTTTGGTTAGGGCACAGCCTGACTCCCTCCTTTGGCAATCTTCACAGAACTTTAGCCTAATGGTTGCCATCAATTTGATTTGAATTAATTTTATAATGAAATGATTTTAGAATGTTGTACTATTTTATTGTTGTTAGCCGCCCTGAGCCCGGCTTCGGCTGGGGAGGGTGGGATATAAATAAATTTATTATTATTATTATTACATTATACTTTACAGAGTTAATCCTCAACCCATCTCCATCAATCATCACAGTTCCAGGACACATTCCAATGGGGGGGGGGGGGGAATTGAAGGGACAAAGCAGAGCCAGTGAGGATCGTGCACTAGGGAGAGTCCCAAGGGCTTAGATAGAGATTCCTGAATGTAACATTGGGGACAACTAGCAACAGTCCACTGAACGATCTCAGTGATCAGGCCAGGATATCTGTCTTGCAATGGCAATGTCAGAAGACTTGGAGCTCAGTTTTGGAAACTGTGCCAAAGTCAGCATGGAGAGGACTGGCAACCTGGATTTCTTCCACGTTCTTCAAGATCCTGACGCCTTCACTAGATGGGAAGGAGTTACGCTGCCACAGCTTTTAACGTGCCTGGTACCTGTAGTGGCTTTTGGATCCAGAAGCCAATACAAGTGCAAAGAGGCTTCTGTACAGAGAGTGCTTTGCTTTGATGTCCACATGTGAACCAGAGCTATACCTATCTGGGAAGGGTATCTACACACATATTTAAAAAGCTGTGAAAATGCATTTTGAAAAGAAAGTTTTGGGGGGAAAATGAATTTGCCATAGCTTGCCATCCCCATCTAGTGTAACATTTGTATATTGCACCTTACAACACACTTAAAACGTTTTATTTGCAGCTGTATAACTGACTCCTTGGTTAGGGAATTCGCTCAGTGGAGTCATTGTGTGTCAGGAAAATGGTATTTAGCATGGGTCTTAAGAACCGATCCACAGAATTATCCTAGTGCTTTCAAAAGTTCTACTAGATGGCTTCAGTGCAAATAGCTGCCAGGCTGCGCTCTCTGTTTCGATGCTGCCTGAAAAGCACTCGGGGATTTAAGCTCGGAAGGTTTCCCAGATAGTAAAAAGTAATAACAAACTCTCTTGCTGCCCAATTTCTCATTAGAGAATGCCATTCGGAATGTCAATTAGTATTTAAATGGAATGCAAGCCCCATATTTTATTCAGATTGGTGCAATTCCATTCTTTTATCCTCCCTCCTCAATTTTGAAGGGGGGAAAAAAGTCGGGGATCTGCGATTCACTGAAGCGAAGGCCTGATAATCCCTTGCAAGAGACATTGCCCATTACCTGGTGATTGGACCATTTTGCAAGTGTATTGAGATTTGTCTGTGCTTCTCCACCAGAGCAGAGAAGACAAGGCAGGAGATAATCCTCTTGCACACTGTAGCGGAGAGCAACCGTATTGTCTGTCATAATTGCTGTCTTCCAAAGGGAGCAGCAGCATCTGGCATGGGGAATATTGTCCTGATTTGACCCTGAATGTTATTTATGCATTTATTTACTTAATACAATTTATATACTGCTTGGTTATAATAAAACCTCAAAGCAGTTAACAAGAAACATTAAAACGATCAATACAGAGCGGTTAAAAACAATTTAAATAAACATGTAAAAATTATCAAAAATCAACAGTGAAAGAGATTTAATTATGGCAACATTCTGTGTGTGTGGCTAGGTTTGCTTAGCAGACAATATTTTTAGCAGGCACTGAAATGCGTACAGCCTGCCTGATGTCGATTGGCAGGTATTCCAAAGTGGAGGTGCTGCCACAATGAAATATAGATTTCTGACAAGTGTAGCATGAGTATTGTGTGGCACCTGTAACACTGTGAGTGGGCAAATATGGAGTAATGGCGATGCCACCAGTAAACTAGTCCTAAGCCATTTGGGTCTGCATAGACCGATAGTAACACTTTGCACGCCCTAACAAATGGACAGACCTCTGAGTAGAAGTGTTGCTGCTTTTGAGGGCGACACGGAAACTACAATTAATCCAGAATGCGGCAGCTAGACTGGTGACTGGGAGTGGCTGCCGAGACCACATAACACCGGTCCTGAAAGATCTACATTGGCTCCCAGTATGTTTCCGGGCACAATTCAAAGTGTTGGTGCTGACCTTTAAAGCCCTAAACGGCCTCAGTCCAGTATATCTGAAGGAGCGTCTCCACCCCCATCGTTCTACCCGGACACTGAGGTCCAGTGCCAAGGGCCTTCTAGAGGTTCCTCCTTGTGAGAAGTGAGGTTACAGGGAACCAGGCAGAGGGCTTTTTTTGGTGGTGGTGCCCACCCTGTGGAATGCCCTCCGAGCAGATGTCAAGCAAATCAGCAGCTATGTGATTTTTAAAAGACATCTGAAGGCAGCCCTGTTTAGGGAAGTTTTTAATGCTTAACAGACCACTGTATTTTAATATTTTGTTGGAAGCCACCCAGAGTGGCTGGGGAAACCCAGCCAGATGGGCAGGGTATAAATTATTATTATTATTATTATTATTATTATTATTATTATTATTATTACATTGGTACCTTGGGTTACAGATGCTTCAGGTTACAGACGCTTCTGGTTACAGACTCCGCTAACCCAGAAATAGTACCTTGAGTTAAGAACTTTGCTTCAGGATGCGAACAGAAATCGTGAGGTGGTGGCGCAGCTGCAGCGGGAGGCCCCATTAGCTAAAGTGGTGCCTCAGGTTAAGAACAGTTTCAGGTTAAGAACGGACCACCAGAATGAATTAAGTTCTTAAGCCGAGGTACCACTGTTTGGTATTATTATTATTATTATTTTGTCACATTATTATTATTATTATTATTATTATTCTGTTGGGAGCTGCCCAGAGTGGCTGGGAAAACCCAGCCAGATGGGTGGGGTATAAATAATAAATAATAATTATTATTATATTGTTATGTTGCATGCTGACATAGGCTCATACAGCATCAAGATGATAGCAAAGGACCTTTTCCTGTATGGGGTGGAATTTTCTGTGGATAATGTATCCTTTCTTAGATGTATAATCCCCACAAGCTGTTCTACTTACTGTAACATGCTGCATTTATGCATGGGCTGTGTTGCAGCCTTGTTCCATGCCCAATAAGCTTGGGATGCCTTTGCCTTGCAGACCTGTGGCCCATAGACTGCAGCAATGTACTGGCCAAGGTTTTGCTCAATATCTTGTTTGTGCGATGAGCTCATGGGGAAAAAGCTACCCCATGAGCCTTTGCACTGGGGAGAGAAAAGTCTATCTAAGGCTGCTTCCATTTTGCCTCGAGGGCAGTTGCTGTACTGCTCTGTTATGCCTCCCTGCTGCCAACCATGGATTGCAATGCCAGTTGAGCTATAGCTATTTCCAAGCCCAGGAAGTGACTCATCCAAGCTCCGTCGCAAGTCCTTCTGCTCAGTTTGCTTGCGGAACGAAGGAAACCAAACACCTTTCTCTCCTTAAATCCAGGCAGACAGCTTCTCCGGTTTGTTTGAAAAAACGGAGTCAACGAAGCACTGTTTTACAGTGTGCGTTCATCAGCATGTGCGCCCATGAGCTACATTTACTTAATCTCTCTGAAAACGAAGGCACATATTCTGGGCATGTTTACCTATAAGAAAATTGCATTTGATTCAATGGAACTTAACTTCTCAGCCAGTGGGCTTTGGATCATGCTTGTTAAGGTACAAGTCAATTGACTCAAATACCACAATTCCAAGGAAGGCATGTGGGAAATGAAGTGATGGCTGTGCATAAGAGAGAACCAGAGAGAATATCAAAGCTACATACACTATGTTCCTTTTGCTTATGTATGAGACAATGGTGGTTACTGATGCCTTCCAACTCTATTGCTCTTGCAAGCTCTATTTACCAAGAAGGAAAGAATATGGATGGTCTCTTTGGCTTCTCCTGCTGATTCTCTGTATGGTTGGTTTGAGAATACAAGCAATATTTATCTCTCAGCAGCTTCCAAGCAATCGTTTCCCTTTAAATTTAAAAGACAACCCCCTTGGCTTTTCAGTTCTGGTTGAACTCCCTTCCTTGGCCTTCAGTGTATTAGCATCTTCTGCTGAACTCTCGACTCTTTCTTCCCCCTGAGTTTTGAGAATGTGGTTCAAGTGTATGTGTGCAAAGGTCTGGCATTGTCTGTGATTTTGAAACACTGACTTGATGGAAAATAACTGAGGGGGGAAAAACAAGGTGAAAGGGGCAAAGACAGAAACAAAAGTATTGAGAATGAGTCAAGTTGAATATGAGAATAAATCTTCCTCAGCTTTTCATGCTTCCCTGAATGTATTCCATGATGGCCCCAATTCTTACTAAGAAGGTGGTTCTGGCTGACAAAGGCTCTGAGAACATACAGTTGGCAGCATGGGAAAAACTATGGAAAGATGATTTAAAATTTACAGCGTGTTACACGCTGAAAGAAAACTATATGATGATGATGTACCATTGGTATTTAACACCCAGAAAGTTAGCGAAAATGTATAGGACTAACTCCAATGTATGTTGGAAGTGTAAGGAAAAAGAGGGCACATTTTATCGTACGTGGTGGAATTGCAAAAAGATAAAGGAATTCTGGGTAATGATATATAAGGAACTTTTAAAAAAAATGTTTAAAATAACATTTGTTAAAAGACCAGAAGCCTTTCTCTTAGGAATTTTAGGTGCAGATATATTGAAGGATTTGAGAAGACTAGTCATGTATGCGATTACAGCTGCAAGGATGCTGCTTCCCAGCGACGGAAACATGAGAAAATGCCGACAAAAGCGGACTGGCAGATGAAACTATTCGAGTATTCAGAGATGGCAAGACTGACAGGGGAAATCAGAAATCAGGAAGATAAAAACTTCAATAGGGAATGGGACAAATACAAACTGTACTTAAAAGAACACTGTAATCACTTGAGTTCTTTGGCAGGCTTTTAGTAACTCCTGCAATGTTGCAAAGACTTTAGATATTTTGGAGGACCATAACTTGGAGGAAATATAATACGGTGGTACCTCGGTTTAAGAACTTAATCCGTTCCGGAAGTCCATTCTTAAACCGAAACCATTCTTAAACTGAGACGTGCTTTCCCTAATGAGGCCTCCCACCACCAGTGCCCTCCCACTGTTCAGCTTCTGTTCTTAGACCGAGGTAAAGTTTGCAAACCGGGACACTACTTCCAGTTTTGCAGAGTTCTTAAACTGAATAGTTCGTAAACAGGGCTGTTCTTAAACTGAGGTACCACTGTATGCAGTTGATTTAGAAAAGACCCACAGAGGGGAGGAGGGAAGCCTTAAGATTCAGAAGAATCTTGTTTGATTTTACAATATAAATGTGTTAAATCTGAGATTGATTTTGTAAAACCAATAAAAATTATTTCAAGAAAGAAAGAAAGAAAGAGAAAGAAAGAAAGAAGACAAGGACTGAGATTCCACCCACACGCTCCTTTAGTACCCTTGGACGCAGCTCATCAGGCCCTGGAGATTTGAATTCATTCAAGGTAGCTGGGTGTTCCCTTAGGCCTTTTCCTATCTTGGTCTGCAGCTCCCTCCTTACATCATTTATCCTGTTATCACCGGTTTGGGCACCTCCAGGATGGTCTTCAAGGTTCTAAATCCAACAGCAAATCCCATCTTATTTAGTCCTTTCCAGCCACAACGTCCACCAAGTAAGAGCCTTCAGAGTTTTGTTAGCCCTCCCCATCTCTAGGACTCTCTTTTTCAAATGATACTAGAATCATAGAATCATAGAGCTGGAAGAGACCACAAGGGCCATCGAGTCCAACCCCCTGCCAAGCAGGAAACACCATCAGAGCACTCCTGACATATGGTTGTCAAGCCTCTGCTTAAAGACCTCCAAAGAAGGAGACTCCACCACACTCCTTGGCAGCAAATTCCACTGTCGAACACCTCTTACTGTCAGGAAGTTCTTCCTAATGTTTAGGTGGAGTCTTCTTTCTTGTAGTTTGGATCCATTGCTCCGTGTCCGCTTCTCTGGAGCAGCAGAAAACAACCTTTCTCCCTCCTCTATGTGACATCCTTTTATATATTTGAACATGGCTATCATATCACCCCTTAACCTCCTCTTCTCCAGGCTAAACATGCCCAGCTCCCTTAGCCGTTCCTCATAAGGCATCGTTTCCAGGCCTTTGACCATTTTGGTTGCCCTCCAGAATTGTTGTACTAATTCTGTACAACAGGACGGTAACCTGGTATGCCCCGGTATTTTGCCACTTCAGAGTTTATCCAGCAGAAAAAGGTGAATCTATTCATCTTTGAGCCATGCATTGAATGATAGAAGATTTGCCAGGATATTTTCCCATTGCTATATTTGCATATGCCCTTGGGGAGCCTATACCCGTGTACCAGCTGTGAACTTGGCAGACAATTCCGCCTGGCTTTATTTCTGCTAGCGCTCAGCTTGGTTGGAGGGAAAGGTCAAGGCAAGCTATATTAATTACAGTCCACATTAATTGTATGCTCAAGGTTACATAACATGGATGCGCCCACCGGCAGGTCTGTGCAATCAGTGTGCTCGATAACGGACATAGGAAGATAATTCCGCTTACCTTTGGCACCATACTCTCAGGATTATATTAGATATGCACATGAGTAGGGTTTTGATTAAAACATTATCTAAGAATTATGAATACTTGGGCCTCATGCGGCCCTCAAGGATCTCAGACTGTTCTGGAAATATTAGTTAATTAATGTACACCATGCTCCTCATGCTACAAGGCAGGCTAAATATAGCAAGGGCACCAACATCGAAAAGTCCATAAATCCACTTTCCAGCTTTCCAGGATTAAGTGCTCCTGCCCCTCTGGGGAGAAGGACATGAGTCTTTCAAATTACAGTGGTACCTCGGGTTACAGATGCGTCAGGTTACAGACGCTTCAGGTTACAGACGCTTCAGGTTACAGACTCCACTAACCCAGAAATAGTACCTCGGGTTAAGAACTTTCCTTCAGGATGAGAACAGCAATTGAGCGGTGGCGGCACGGCAGCAGCGGGAGGCCCCATTAGCTAAAGTGGTTCCTCAGGTTAAGAACAGTTTCAGGTTAAGAACGGACCTCCAGAATGAATTAAGTTCTTAACCCGAGGTACCACTGTACAGTTTTATAATCACATATCCAACATACAACATAAAGACAAGATTCCATAGAATCTCCTGGACTTCCCTCTTCCCCTTTGTGGGCTCTGTTGTTAATCATTTCCTCCTGCATCTTTCATAATAATCCAAATCTTTCACATCTCCATTATATCCAAAATTTGCCATTAAACTACAAGTGTTATTCCAATCTGATTAACACTTCTAACTGTTTACAATGGTTTTTCAGATAAAATTCCTAAAAGAAAAACTTTGAGGTTTTTAGAAAAAGTTATTTTAAACATTTTTTTTCAATTCATTATATATCATTTCCCAAAATTCTTTTACTACCTTACATGTCCACCACATATGATAGAAGGTGCCTTCTTTTTCCTCAGTGAGGTTCAGGTTATAGCAGAAGAAGCTGCTGAACTAGTTAGGCAAGTTTCTTTGTCAAGGCCAGTTATCTACTGCAATCCACAAATCCAATGTGGTTGCTATGGAGACAAATGGGTGGGGCTTTTTTCCCACCTGAGGTGGCTGGATGCCATGTTATTCTAGGATAGAAAAGCAACAGGCAAAGAGGGGCTGTGTATGAGAGATTGGTGCTTGAGAGAATTTCGTTGTTGCTGGAAGCTGGAGAGGCATGGACATGTCTGCGCTGTGCTGGACCCAAAGCTGTGACTTGGAGCTTCGCTGGAAACCTAATGAGGATTTTAATGCTCTGGGCTCCTCCATACTATGTTTAGGTTGTATGCACTGTGGGTTAAACCACAGAGCCTAGGACTTGCCAATCAGAAGGTCGGTGGTTCGAATCCCCGCGACGGGGTGAGCTCCCGTTGCTCGGTCCCTGCTCCTGCCAACCTAGCAGTTCAAAAGCACATCAAAGTGCAAGTAGATAAATAGGTACCACTCCAGCGGGAAGGTAAACAGCGTTTCCATGTGCTGCTCTGGTTCACCAGAAGCGGCTTAGTCATGCTGGCCACATGACCTGGAAGCTGTATGCTGGCTCCCTCAGCCAATAAAGCGAGATGAGCGCCACAACCCCAGAGTCAGCCACGACTGGACCTCATGGTCGGGGGTCCCTTTACCTTTACCTTTAAGCCTAACTAAAACCTGAAAAAATACATCCTGAAGATGCCACAGTCTCTGCTGTCCTTCGTTCTAAGGAAACCAAATCCTGGGTACGCACTGGAACACATGCAGTTTACATTCGCTGAGAGATTGAGGCATGTGCAACAGTATTTGCAAAGCAATTTCTTCAATATAATGCATTTTTTGAATGCTGTCTTCAATAAAATGTGCATGTCTATGGGCACTTTACCCCAGTATATGCATGTCTGTACACATTGCTTGGCTGGAAAGTTCTACTGCAAATTTCACAGAAGTGTGAATTTCAGAGGATGGCTGCTTCGTGCGCAGTGTATCATTCTAGAAACTGCACATTGTTCTAGGTCCACCTCTAAATGACAGCTGAATCACATTTCTCCATCTCCCATTTTTCCTTTGCACTGTGGCTTAGAGGAGAGTAAGCACAGCAAAGGACCTACTCCAGTGCTTCCTCGCTTTTTCCAAACTGCAGTGCAAGTGAGAGTGATCCCCGCCCCTTTCTATTCTGCATACTACATTTGCTTAGAGGGCTTGTGAGATAAGTGGGGATTAATCAAACTTGTGCTGAGGTTTGGAGAAGATAAGGCTCATTCTCCAAGGATTTTATCTTCTATTTTTTTCCCTGCTTCAGTATTGATCACCGAGAAATAGAACTATGGTTCCCTTTCTTAGGAGATTTTAGTGCAAAATCTCCAGGCCACTCATTTAATCTCATTTCTTCATTTAACTAGAAAACCAAAGAGTAAAAACAGTTCCAGAGCAATTTCTAAAGCAAAAGCCATTTCTGTTTATGCATCAGATCTGGTCAACCGTGGAACATAATGAGGTATTCTTTGGTAGACTGTACTACAAATGTTGATCTTCTGGAGCTTCTTTGCCAAGCCTGCTCCTCATTTTGCTGGCATCTGTCTGTCTCGGGAGACAATGGAGTAGTGCGCCATTGGAGGTGAAGTCAAACTGTTGGAAGGTTTCAGCACCTGTAGAGACTGATAGGGGACAGACATGTTTTGCTGCAGCTGGGGCAGATGAAGGCGTCCGGTTGTGCCGCTGCAAATGCACCATGGCATTTCTTCTTTCTGCACTCCTCCAAGTGGTCATTCCTCCTCTGGTCACTGCTGTGGATGCACAACCTGACTGTGTCCCCAGGCACAGGTCATCTGCAAGGGATCCCCACAATACGGGGTTCATGTTGCCAGCTTTCACGTCTCGTTTGCAGATGTTGGTTTAGTGCAGAGTTGGTCTGCCTGTTGGAAAAATGCCCGGGAAGGCCACCACCTTCCCAAGACACCGGGGCGTCTCTCCGATGGCTACTCTCTAGCTGTAAATCTTCCTCAGTCCAGAGAGACCAGTGATAAGTGACCCCTTCCTCCTGAGAGGAGCACACTTGTCTTCTGGCATCTCATAGCAGAAGAAAGAGACAATCAGTAGCTCTAAACTACTTCATTTTACAGTCTATATACAAAGACTCCATCAGCATGTCTGTGCTCTCTCAGCACCAGTACAGAACAGCATCACACACAGAAGTGAAACTAAACTCTCCAACAATACTCCAACAGTACTGAGACTTCCTGTCTCACACTCTCAGACACTCACATGATATAAACAACATAGTGCTACTTGCAGCTCCCTGTAGAAC